GGAGCAAATTACATTTTTTGTGAATTTGATAATGCAAAAAGTTCATTTTCGGAGCTCTTCTACACTTAATCAACTTCACCTTGGCCTGAGAGCATGAGCTTCAGAACAGTGAGCAGTAGCATACGCTGTAAGGTGAGACACAGCAGCTCCTCCAATAAATATTCTCCTTTTGAACTTTATTTCATTAAGAACTATCAGACTTCTTGCCCCCAGCACATAAGCAGCTGCTGTTCACAATCAGATTCACAAGCCGTCAAGCACTGTGGAGCCCAAGACCCTTTGCTGGAATTTGGCTTTGCAGATGGGAACATCTCCATGCAAGTAAGTTCATATTTGGTCCTTGCACACAGCTGTCACCATTACAATCAATAAAGCTTAAAGAGAGGCCTGCAATACAATTTTGTGACCAGATGCACTCTAATGACAGCTGTATAAAATTCTCTTGTGCCAGTTCCCTCAGCTCACAGGACATGGAGCAAGAGACGGCAAGAGTCTGCCCAAGTGCTATGCACTAACTGGGCTCTTCCTAGCCCTTCTTGCTCCCTTCTGATTCCTACCCTTCTCCCTAATTTTTGAAAAAATAGGTGCTGTGTGCGGTTTTGTTTGTTTGTTTTTTTTGAAAGCCAGAGACAAGAGAGTGACTAAGATCCATTCTCATGGAAAATGTTCTTGTTTGGTGAATGTTGGTGAATAGTGTAAGACCATTAAACTAATAAAGGCAAAGAGGTTAGGTTTCCTATGTTGCTTAAAAGGAGAACACTTCTGAACTTGTGTTGACCCTTCCCAGAGAAGCAAATAAAGACTATGATCTATTAAAAAAAAAATTTCCAAAAAACCCCCACAAGAAGTTAAATATGCCTTACATGCCACATGCTATAAAAACTCAGATCTAAATCACTACTGCTTTTCACAGAATATAAATTCAAAGATGCCAGACAAAATCTAATCCTTTAATTTACAGAAAACTACTTAGCACACAAACAAAAACCTTAGTTAGAAAAAAAGATATAATCTTTAAATGTATACACACACTGCTGTTAAATGGTCTGTAAATTGCTGCTCTTCTGGGCAGAGTAAATATTTTGTGATAGACTGTTGTCTCTTCATCTGAAATGCAAACTGTTTTCTTTATTAATCATAAAAGACAATGCTTTTTTAAAAACGAGCTGCTCCATTTGTATATGCCAACCACTGTGCTCAGACACCAAGCAAAGAATATTGTGGCAGGCAAACAATAGATTAATATTTAGTTCCCCTTGCTTCAAATGTGTTTTAAGAAGGGAAATATTTTACTTTAGGTTTACTTTGATGGAAGCTCTCAGGGGAACTGAAAATGTTACAGACCTTATTCATAGCTAGACTTTCCTTAATTTCATCACACATGCATTGACAAGACTTTTCAGAGAATCACCACAGCTTCAGCCTTTTAGGTGTAATCTCACTGAAGATTATCTAATAATAAGTCAGGTGAAGGTCTAATGCAAGAGAAAGATTTTTTGCATGGAATGAAAGTTCAGCAACATTCTCTGCACCAAAAGTAGCTAGCATAAAGGACACAAAATTTATGGTTTTTGCTTTTCATTTACAGGAAATCAGAATGTGACAGCTCCGGAAACAGTCACACTTCTAGTATCTTACATTTCTTAACAGAAAAGCTATGGCTCCCCACCTTCTCCTCCCCTAAGCTGCTATTTCAGAAACAGTTAAAGAGACAGTTCTTGCTCTCAGCTCTACAACTGCAAATGACTTCACGAGTACCCTTATGATACTGACACTTGACATGCCAACATCAAGAAGTTTAATCACTGACCTGATTTTGGATTGATGTGGCCTTCTTTCAGTTGTGTGTCCCAGTCTTTGGAGAGTCAGAGTCGTATCTTCTTAGAGGACTGCAAATGCAGGTTTCTTGGCATGAAAATGGTGAAGCCCCAGCTAGTCACTAAGCAGGAGGTACAAACAGGAACCCCTGAGTGAGACAGCTAAAAAAACCCCAAAACAACCAAACCCTGAGCATGATTCTACAAAAGACTTTTAAGTAATATTTGGTATGGTCTGTTGCTCTGTGGGATCATGAGGAGCTGGCAGTTCCCCCTCTGACTGCAGTCTCCTCTCCTGGTGGTGCCAGCATGGACTCTGTTGGGCCACCTGAAGCATGGAGGGTGGCCCACAGAAGCACTTCAGGGGGATGTCTAATGATGACTGGTTTCCTGCTCTCAATTTGGCTTCTGGGAAGCACCGAGAAGATAAGAATAACCAAGTAATCCAGATACAGGGGGCATTTTCTCCTCTAGTTCAGGCAGTAGCTACGGAGCCAACCTCTGTTAAAGGGCTGCAAGTAATTACCTTGAAGGTGCTACTACTGGGGTTAGTCCCCCAGCTGCCTGCACTTTCTCAGCGCTTCGCACTTCTCTGGGAAGTTGAGAGACACTGTTGGGAGACACTGTCGTTCTACTTGTCAGTTTTGCTTCCCTCCTGCCAAAATAAAGTTTACCCTGGCATTTCTTCGATGTAGAAGTTCATTAGTTCAAAATCAGGAGACATGTTTAACTGAGCCAGTAGTGAATGTTACTTGAGAATCACTTAGTCTGGTAGAAGAAAACACAGTATTAAAAACACCCCTGTTTTTCCCCCTTATCTTGGAAGCCAAAAAAAAATAAGCTAGTTGCAGTAATCATCCATATACAAACACCCCACCAGACACCATCTTCTGAATTCACTTACCAAGGCCTCCAGTTGTAGAAGTCACTACAATTCCCCTTCAATACCAAAGAGGAGATACTGCTGCTGACCAGGAGTGCACAGACCCATCTCCTTCTCACCCAGTTGGGGCAGCTTGTTGTCCAGAGCTCGTAGCATTACCCATTGTGCAGAAAGGCAACACATATCCAGATGGTGCACAGAAGTACCAGTCAGAAGCAGGGATGTAAGCACCACCATTAGGTAGCTAATGTACAGAAATACTTCACAAACTGATGGCTTTCCGTGATGGAAATTCAAGGGCAGCTGCCCTATTCAAGCACTTACAAATGGCTGCTGCTATGGTAGAGCTGTATCTGTAGGCTGAGATCTTGCAGCTGCTGCTGACCTCCTCTGTCAGAGAAAACTCCTGCCTCTGCAAGGAGCTGCCCACCCGGGAGGATCACAAACTGCCCTCACCATTCCCCATCCACAGGCATCTCACAGGAGGATTAGCAGGAATATATGTGGCAGCATCTCAGCCTTGAAGTAAAAGAAAAGCCAAAGCAGAAACCTGTCCAGTCTTGTCCCTCTTCCCATGCCAAGAAGCTGTGTTTGGAGTTAATAAACACGCTCCAGTAACTGCCATGTAACTCTTGTCCATCACTGATTCTTGCAAACAGGGACAGCACAATCATTTCAGAGCAAGATGCAGTTCCTTCTCCTTTCTTTTCCTCCTGGTTAAAGTCTTATACTTTCCTGATGCACTCTTACATGCAAGAGGTCTTTAAAGATTTTTCCTTGAAGGTTTGCACCTGATGTTATCAAAGATAATTAGATAATTGACAAACAATTCACACAAGGCTCTCTGGTTTCTTTATACATGGTGTTTTCCTCGGGCTGTGAAGTTTAAATGATACAAAGGGGAAAATTCTCTGTTGTTTTACAGCTTTTAAATTTAGGCTGCATTAAAACTAATGCTTAATTGATTTTGATGTACCTAAAGCACTTTACTGTTCTTTTAACAATAATTTTTCTTTGTTTCTAGTTGTTCCCTTGCCAAGGGTAGTGCCTGTAATGTTAATGACTCCAGTCTCATTAGGGATTTGATAGAAGTTTTTGTTATTCTTCAAATCCCCCTCACTGGTAGTTTGTTTTGTTGTTATAATCACTGTTTCAGTCTATCATCACTATTGGAAGATATTTACCACTTTTGTTCAGCAGAACTGCCTGTAAGAAATTAGTCCCAAACAGTGTAAATAGAAAGGTTCAGTCTGAACTGTTTGGGAATGTCTTCAGTTTGCATTGGACTACAGTACCCTTTTAAGCTCTCAAGACAAGGAATGCTCACATTTTCAGTGCATGCTTACAGTTTTCTTCATTTTGCTATTTTTGATGTTCAGAGGTCTTTGGAAGCAATGTTCACTTTAATTGCTCCCTCAGAAAGATGCCTAAAAAACCAAAAATTAGATTGTGTCCAGTTAAATCCTACCTCAACCCTGCCACATGTAGTGGATGTCAGGGATGAATTTAACAACTAATTTATATTAGAAGCTTTTAGGATAGAGGTACAGCACTGAAGAACTGAAGAAGTGTATGGGTACGCATAAAATTAAGTTATAGGGCTTAAGACAAAGAGATAAAAATAAAAAAGAAAAATAATTCCCTTAAGATAAATAATACATAATAAGCAACTCTTCCTTCCCTAGTCTTTGAAGGTGATTGACTAATCATGCTTGACTAATCATGCTCTTCTGTATGACTCTTAAACTTCTGCAGTTAATTCTCCTCAGGAACATGATGTATTTTATGTCTTATTAGTTGTAGGTAGAAAAAGAAACCAGTGGTGCTGGGAATTTCTAGTGTGTTTGTTTGTTTGGTTTGGTTTGGTTTGGTTTTTTTTGGTTGCCTTTTTTTTTTTTTTTTTAAATTTGGCGTGGAAGTGAAACAAATGATTCCAGTAAAAAGTCATATAAGTCAAGATTTAAGTCCTCACAAACTTTTTCAATGCCTCCTTATTTGTCACTCGAGGACTATTACATGACTACATCTGTTTTGCCCTCACTTCTGTATTTGCCTCTTATTTAAGTAGCCATTCAAGATATGATTTACAGTGTTGCCAGAGCTAACAGTGCTCTTTGTTAAAGAAGAGGACTTTGGATTCTCTTTCTGTTGATATTACACAGCTGGCATGGCTGGGGGCTGTGGGAACATGAGCAGCCATATGGCCCTGGGCAGCTCTGCAGCTGGTTGGGCTTTTCTGGTTCTTCACCCACCCACAGTACGTTATTTTAGCAGCAGTAGATGTACCACAAACTCAAAAATTAATGCTGTAGCTTCTGAGAGGTATTTATTCATTCACATCATGGTAATTTTTTTGAAATTGCTCTTTAGCAATCTTTTACTTTGTATTCTGTAACGTAATACATCCAAATATAAAATAGGACAGGTGTACAATTTTTATTCCATAGTTCAGCTTCTTAATTACAGTCCAGAAATTTACAGGCATGTGCTCTCTGTAAACCCTTTAAGCATGTCCTGAAAACTTTAATGTATCAGTAAGTTGGTCAAAGCTTCTACAGCTGTTGTTTAATAACATCTAAGCCAACTATCTCAGACCAGTCAGCACAGAAATTTATATTTTCCTTTACTTATTATAATTTATATATTACTAATTGTAGTCTATCGTAGAATACTTCAAATACACACAGCTGAAAATATTTTAACCATTTTTTCAGAGAGCTATATTTCCTAAATTACAATAACCAAAGAATCTGACCTTGATTCACAGAAAATTAGACAACTCCATTTTATTTGTTGATTGAGCTCTACCAGCTGCCTATCAGCCCAGATCATTACTGGCTGTTTTGCCTACTGGGATATTGGACAGAGATTACACAAAGTTGTCTTCAGCTTTTCTTGGCCCTTTATATATAATTTATAATAGTTTAATGGCCAGGGAATGTTTTGTCCTGAATGTTGTTTAACAGCAAGTGAAGGCTGTAATTCCAGACTCTCAGAAAAGTGAGAGAAATGGATGTTTTGCAGGATACCTGCAGGAAAGGGTGTTTATTCACAAAGATGCCTGTAAAATACTCTGACCATCAGAAAGGCTAGTTGAAAAATAGAAGCATCTCAGAGACTCAGAAGGGACCACGTTTCTATTTTGCCACCTAACGCTTGGTAAATCGTGTGCGTGTGTTTATGTGGACTGGACTGCTGTGAAGTGTTGAGAGATGTGCCGTGAACCACATTACCTGGAGAGCTGGGCAGTACTGAGCTACTTCAGCCAACAGAGTTTGAGGTGAAAAAGGGCAGGTCAGGCCAAAGTTGGAAGGAATGTACCCCTTGCCAGGACAACAACTGTGGAGAACAACCCCCAAAGAATGGATTTATACAGCTATGGTGCAGATTTGTATGAAAAACTGGCAGCAGAGCCCTGATGAAGCATCATTACTTTTCTAGTTGTAGATTAACATTATATGTTTTGATGAAGAGCAGTAGCTGCAGTAGGGAGGCTGATATCATAGGTATAAAGGAAAACAAGTTTTAGAATCACAGAACGGTTTATGTTGGAAGCGACCTTAAAGATCATCTAGCTCCAACCCTTATGCCATGGACAGGGACACCTTTCACTAGACCAAGTTGCTCAGAACTCCATCCAACTCCGCCTTAAACATTTTCAAGGATGGGACATGCACAACTTCTCTGGGCAACCTGTTCCAGTGCCTCACCAGCATCACAGCAAAGAATTTAGCCTTCTCTTTTCCAGGCTGCACAAACACAATTGTCTGAGCCTTTCCTCATTGGAGAGGTGCTCCATCCCCCTAATTGTCCTGGTGGTTCTCCTCTGGACTCGCTCCAACAGGTCCACGTCCTTCCTGTGCTGGGGGCCCCAGAGCTGGATGCAGCACTCTAAGTGGAGTCTCACAAGAGTGGAGGAGAGGGGGAGAATCGCCTCCTTTGACCTGCTGGCCATGCTGCTTTTGGTGCAACCCAGGATACCACTGGCTTTCTGGGCTGCAAGTGCACATTGCGACCACACATTGCTAGCTCATGTCCATTTAGGGGGAGTTTTTTTTTGTATGAAATACCCCTTCTTTGGCTGGCAATTCTTTTAAAAGTGCATTTGTGAGCCTTTACCCTGGTACTCTGCTTGCCTAGGAACTTGTTTAGTGAAGGGACATGGTACAACTTCTATCCGTATGTTCTGGGTACAAATAAATGACTCTGGACATGCATAAAAACAAATAGGAAACCCATGAAAGGATTCCTGTCTAATAGAATAAGGTGATGTTTTACTGCCATCTCTGTGAATGTTGCTTTGACAATGGGAATCATTATAGATATTAACTTTGCTGACATGCTTGAGAATAAACTGTAGTGCTGTACATCTGTAAGCAAAAGCTGTTGCATGTTGAATAATCTCTCTCTCTTTGTGTTTTTGTAAAAAAAAAAGCCCCTCTTACTCTTTGCAGCCTGACTAGAGGTTAACCTGTATCATGCATTCATCACAGATTATGCATCCATTTCAGATTTGCAATAATGCCTTCAGTTAAAGTTATTATAATCCCTTGGTGGCTTTCACAAACCACACTTTAATATAATTCTACTCAGTTTCTTGTATCTATGTTAGCTCAATACAGATAATCAAAAGATGAAAACTTGATGTCCAGACTAAGTTTGGCTGCTTCTAAACATTAGTACAAAGTATATCCACTGACTAAGATGCTTCCTGTTCTTACATACTTCCCTCTCTGGATAGCGCTGAATATTGAAGTTGGGTGAGAAAGTAGATCACCAATGCAATTTTCTCCCTCAAAGACATTTGACTGACTGTGCTATGAGCTATAACTCTTCCATGAACAAAATCTGTAGTAAGACTGTCCCATAAAGACAGAACTTGTCAGGTGCATTTCTCTTCCCTATCCCACTGCTAGCAGAAGCCACTGTAAACCATGTACCCTGAGGCAGAAAGGCTTGTGGCTCTGCCAAGTCAAGATCAAAGCAGTTTTAGTCACTTTTATCTTGAGGAAGGGATCTGCAACAGCAGAAACACCTTTGGCACAAACCAGAAAGGTGGGAAGAAAGAGAAACAGCATTATGGCAGAATCCTGCAGATGGGAAGCCAGTAGAAGGGAAGAAACACCAAATAGAAAAAAATAAATAAAATAACTGATTGAAATGCATAAAAAAAGGTGAATGCTGCAAGGAGCCATGAAGGCAGAGCCACACCATTCTATTTTTTTTCAGAGCTGTATTTGATGTCTGAAGAGAAACACTTGTTACCTTGATCCACACAGGGAGCAGGTAGAGCTATTTCACATTGATCTGAGTTTTCTGACATTTCCTGAAAAATTTAGCTAAACACTTTTCCTCTTTCAAAAAAGCCTGAGATATATAGAGAGATTAATCTGAGGTAAAACAGCGACCATAATGTTCTCCTTCTACATACTACCCACAAAGTATCCACAGGAACGCCCACACATACCTGTGGTGGAAAACTCAGAACAAGCTTGGGGTCCAGCAAAGCTTGTCTCTAGTTGCCATCATGTATTTCACAATCAATACACTTCAGATTATCCAGTTTCTATTCTAAATTTAAGTCCTTGCAAGAGGACTTGATTGCCTCTCAATTCCTGAATATTTGTGAAGGAAATAAACATGCAAGCTCTGCTATGAAGAGGTATCCAAAATTAGTGACTGACCTTTGTAGGTCATACTTCCTTCATATACAGAATTAAATCCGATTCCTGTTTCTTCCCTTTTACCACCTATTTCCTCCTTCCTCTCTCAATTAAACTGCCAAGTCCTAATCTCACCATTTGGCCTTTCACCTCCTTGAAAGCTCACAATTCCTGATCTTCTTAATCTAGGATCATTACCATCAATCACTCCTTTAGGCAAGTGAAATCTTTTTTCACAGAGGGATGCCAGAGGCCTACTGATCTTTTGGGCTGATAATATTGTTTTATTTCTAGTGCCAGTTGGGGTTTTTGACTAAACTGTGGCTAGTGGCATATTTTGCCGATTAGATGCTCTGGACTGATAAAGAGAAATTTTCTTGAACTGTGGTTTCTTCCAGGTTGAGTCATTTACTGGGAGAGATGAAGGATTAACTTAATTAAATCAACTAATACTTTGACAAAGCGTTAGGGATCCTGCCAAGGTTAATGAGGGCTAAGGTTAATGAGGACCAAGTTTTCCTTTCCTATGTCTTAATATCTTTTAGATAGCAGCCTCACTTACCAGACTTAGCTCACTTGCAGCTCCAATCACATTCCTTACACTGTCTATGATATTCATCTCAACACCCTGTTCATCTGCTTCTCCAAAATGGACCATTGGGACTTTTTCTACATCTTCTATTGAGTACAAGCTTTTCTGCTGGCCCACTTTGCAAGACGCCTTCTCATTCATCTGTTCTGTTAAGCTGGGCACTTACCACAGTGGCCACACAAAATAAACAAACTTCTCCTTGTGTATAATTAACCTTGACACTGCTGTGGTAACCAGACCTTCAGGTAAACCACCTGTGTCCTCTCTGTTCCCCTGTTGTCTGCATTGTTTTCATAAGGGCCACTGCACTACCATGGTCCTGTAAAAAAATTCTAAGATAACAGGAATCTAGAAAACATATCAGATTGCAATGTCTGAATTCAATTTTTTCAGGAGCGGTTCCTAGATTTTTTCCCTCTAGCACTAAGCTGTCCATCTATTGTGCCAAATGCTAGAAACACCATTTTCAGAAGGCCTGCCTCGGGAGTAGTACCACTGATATTAATGATACACTGAAAGAATAGAAAGCCACCACACAAAGCAAATGTATTTTCTGAATGCAGCTGAAGTCTTTGGAAATGTGATGCATTTTTCTCAACATCTCTAGCTACACATTCTCACTGTTTGTTTTTACGCAGGTTTCTTACTTTTTAGAGGTTTTTTTCCTATGTTCACATTTTCTTAAATCCAGTGCATTAGGAATTATGACAAGGAAACATGAGATTACAGGAGACCCCAGGACAGGTTTATGTATTAGATGTGGTTAAAAAACCCTATCAGCAACTAACCACACAAATTCACTTTTTTTTTTTAATTAAAAATCTTCAATAGAAAGCACTACACACTAAAGACTCACTAAGCTATATTACTTATTAATCTAAAAATTTCCCATCAAAATATATTATTTTTGCATAAGTTTAGCAAAATATTTTGGTAGACTAGACATAATAGCCAGGTATTTTTCCTTGTTACCTTTTGGTTTATATTTGCTAATTTTTCAAAGGCCTTTCAAAACTTTCTTTCAGACAGGGCAAGATCCTGAAAACATTATGTAAAAGCACTCTTGGACCCTTGTGCTCTTCCTAAGAGGATATGAAACAGATTTGGAAGGGGGTTAAACAAATGAATTAAAGAACATTTTAATACTAATACCAGCTATAATAAAAGTTACTTCTGATCAGCCTGTTTTGTTTTCAAGGGTTTTGAAATTAATTCACGAACAATCTTGATAGATTAAAAAGAAAAATAAAATCTTTTTTTTTTTTTTAACTGTACATCCTGCGTTCTTAAAAAATGCTAGGTTAACAGCATTACAGATGCTTTTTAAATAGAAAATGGATGGACCCCTGGTGTCAGCCACACTGAAAGCCTCCCAGTGCTGCCTTCCTAAAATGCTCCACCCTCAATCCATCTGGGTAGGTTAAAATGGTCCCCCTCACTCACTCCCTTGCAGAAGTTATCATTAAAAATGCAAATGAATTGTGATCATGATTTTTTTTTAAAAACAAAGGTAACATCCACTCCTGCAGAAGTGCAACCCATCTAATCAATTTGGCCAAGCTATTTATATACTATTCTTCTATGATCTTCTGTGGCATCCGATTTCACTGAGGTCATGGAGACACTGATGCCTGGTAAATTGCCAGTAATTAAAGGTTGTTAAGTGCTTGTCAGCTTCCTTTCAGACTTAGTCTATATCGTGAGGCAGACTTAGTTCAGCAGCTACAGACCATTCATAAACAGATAAAGCCCAGGAATAATGCATTATTATCATGAAAATATCCATACTGTTGCAGAAACATTTGTTCTAAAGTAATCTCATTTTTCTGAAATAAGACTGTGGCCAGTGAAAAGCGAAGCCTTGTCATGCCTCTGCAACAGGGCTACTCTCCCACACATGAAATACTTTTTTTCCCAGCTCCTCCTCTCTCCTTCAAGCCCTGTTCCTCAAGGCCTCTGTTTAGTTTAGATTCCAGAATACATGCAGGGACTGTGTGATTTTACAGTTTTAGTTGGACTTGGAGTTTATTCCAGCTTTTCCAGTAGCTCTCTCATATCATAGTAGTTTGCTGGCCATAAAAAGAAGTCAGATAACTTTAACTGGAAAAAATTTAGAGTAGGTGCTGATGAACTCTTACAATACAAACATCTTTCAAGGCATGTTGATTAAAGCCCTCTCAGCCATAAAATAATTAATTGAAAAAAACCGAAGCAAGTCATTAGTTGGGGAAATCAGTATAACTACAATGAAAAGTTAAGCCCACATTAGTTAATGTCACCTGTGCACTACACCTAAAATACGTTCAGAACTATCTGGTATTCAAAAAAAAAAATTCTGGGAAGAAACTTCAGCCTTTTGAAGAAACACATATTAGCATCACATTCTCCTGGTGAAATACGTCTGTCCAACCTACCAGGTTGTTCATAGTTTGTTGCATAGAAAAGATATGGTTGTAGGAAGAATTAAAGAAATTCAGAATGATAAATTAGTAATGAAATACTCTTACAGTGGAAACCTTTGGAGAACACCCAAGACAGAATTTAATTGAGAGGTAGCGATGATCATTTATTATTAATAAAACTTTTGTTGAAGGAATCCTGTGTAAGGACTGTTATCTTTCCCCAGAACATCTGAATATTAGTTACTCAACGAGGGCTGTAAAAGGCACAGAAGTTCTTAGCCCCAACAGCAGCCTAGTTCCCATTAGACACCTCAAACTCAGACCACTGACATGCAGTCAGACACTGAATGATACAACCCTACCAATCTGTTCTAGTTTAGCAATCCAACCTTTGCCTCTCTATTTCGGGCATACAGTGTTTCTTCCAGGACTTTGACAGTTTGGGGCCAGCTACAATCAGCAGCTTGAGGGCTGCATTTACATTTGAGGCAGCTGTTTTCTTCTTTTTCCAAACTGTCTTTCCTCATGTTTAAGCTGCAAATAAATGCTGCTGTGAGCACCACACCTGGAAAGGCTGACAGTTTGCAATGGCTAGACTTCTTCTGTGTACTGATGGCTAAACAAATCTGAAGTATCCGCATACCATAGCATTACTGCTTCTGTTCCCGAGTGCACCATATCTTCAAATCAAATTTAAACAATACTTGAACAATCTCACTTACTTTAAAATCATAAAATGAGAAGTCTATCTCTGTAGATACATTTCTTTCAAATTATTTGAAAGATCTCTTCCCTAACTTGCAGCAATTGCTAAATATATGGATGCATTTCACAATTTTCCAAATGCATGCATCCTGAATGCTACAGGATCTCATTTCCCTCCTAAAATTCTCCTATGACCTGCAACTACAAGGTGCTGCCATAAAATAGCATATAGTTATTGGTACTAGGACCATCCTCTGGATGCAATCAGTGCTCTTGTGCATAAACACAGCTTAAAGAGAAATACAAAACAGTCACTCCTCTCCCTCAAAACAGTGTAGATTGCACATCAGTATTTTAGTTAGTTGGTCACCTCTTCAGCAATCAGAATAAGCAACTTAACTAGAAATGTTATATTTGGAACCTGAAAGGAGTTACAGCACAGAAGATGTGAGCTATCTGCATTTATGTTGCTTTCATCTGTGAATTCATATTTCAAGTAAAAGTAGGCCACATATTTTATAGAAATTTATACTTGCTCTTACCTTGAACAATCTCAAAGCTATCAGTCATGTTCCACACATCAGTATTAACTGAGGAGAACCACAGACACCCTCCCAAAGAAGTTTTACAGGCCTCTCACTTCAAAGGCTTGATGGGTCTGAGAGACACTATAATCATCCCGGTGACGGAAGCCTGTTGTTACCGTGAATTGTGCCTGTGCCTAAAGTACCAAAATATTGTAACATTTAACTTATTTGCACTCCTTGTTTGTTCCCTCATGACATCTACAATACCACTCGGTAACTCTGCAAAGTTTACATGATTTCCATCACAGATTTCAAAGCCTCTGAAACCACCCAACTGATTTCATGTCAATTTTTCTCTCCATTCCTATCTGTCAAGAGCACTGCAAGATCTTTCAAGTTGCACTGCAGGGAGTCAACATACTTTTAGGTGATGGCAGCACACCAATGTTAATTTGACTAATCTAGTTCAGCATGCAGTATGCAATTATTTCCTACTCTCCTGATTTTTTTCCCAGCCTATTTTCAATTTAATTTATATATTGGTAAGGATTCTACCTTTAGAAAAGATAGGTAGTCCACGAGCCTTCCACTATGCTGCAGCTGCTGCTGTTATATCTGTCACTAAAAAAAACCCCTCACTTTATGTGACAATGGGGTTTGAATCACAATGGCTAAATATATCATGTATAGAGATTTGATTGCTTTACTTTTTTTTCCTGAAGGGGAAAATATGAGAGCAAAACCTTACAGCTTATTCCATGCTTCACTACAGTGTAATTCTAGACCCTAAAATTTCTACCATTCCTATTTTGGTAATGAATGGAATGTAAAAGGGAGGTATTTAAAATTAATTGCAGCAGTTCTGAGGGTTAAACCTGCTTAACCCAACTTTTTATTAAGAGAATATCAACAGAGCATATATCTTGTTTAGGGAGTGCTGGGACATCATTTTTCTTCTACCAGCATGTTTAGTTCTAAAACCTGGGATTTCTTCAGGTTCCTGTAGCTGTCATGCACACCATATACCCATCCCAAATTATAGTGCCTGTTCTGAGCTACTCACTACAGCAGGATTTGACCTGAGAAACTAGAGTTTTGTTTTACTTTATTAACTTGGAGTACTTTTAAACAGTTTTTAAACAAAGTTTTTCCCTTGACCAGCAAGGGAATTTTCAGCCTGAAGTTCTCAGCAGCATCCGGTGAGGCTCTTGGCCAAGTTCTCCAGATACTGTACATCCACAAGGACAGCCTGCTGGCTCTTGCTGTGGCATTTTCTTAATCCTCAGAACAGATTTCCTGTATCTAGGAAACTTAATTCCTGACTCCTCTGACCCAGATGCTGGCGAAAACGTAGTCTGCAGTCTGTACGTAAATAGGTGTGTTCATTTTTTCTTTTTTTTTTTTTTTTCTTTCTAGGAACTGGCCTTGCTGTTAAATTTTTCTAAAACAGTCATATTAATATGTTCAAAAATCCACTGTTGAGTTTCAGATAAAGGATCACATCTGTTCATGAAAATCTTCTTCTCAGCTGGGTTGCAATCTATGCAGCTGCTGCTTACCGGATGGAACAAAGTTTTGTCCTAGAGGAATGAAAAAAAACCAGAATTAGGTAGCAAATGCCAAATCATTGACAGTATTCTCATTTTACAGAACATGGATTAACACAGCCCTATATATGAAATGATTTTGTGGTCTCTGTGAGCTAACCCTATGTAATAACCACAGCTACTATTAGGAAGCTGTAGAGAATGGAGTGTTTTCTTCCCTTGGGCTATTATCCTTTATAAAACTGGGGATTCAAGAAAGAAGGAGGAGACATCATCTGGTATTTTACTAACAACTGCATAATATAATGAAAAAACAGAATGTCTTTTAATATCTTTGCATATCATGTATTTGCCTGGAGCCCATTTAAATGTCTGAAGTGGTTTGGGTTTTCGGCTTTTTTTTTAGATTTATTCTTGACAGTTTCATGTTTCTGGACAGGAAAAGCTGTAACAATCTTCAACTTGGTGAAGACATTAAAAATGAATTATTATTTGAAGTGGTGGACAGGTGGACACAGGAATGATGTTCTCAGTTCTCACACACATGCAAAGCAGACTTGGCCTTGATAAGACCAGCCACTGAAATATGTCCTCTCTCCTAATAAGATGGAAATGCTAATACTGATTTAGCTCCATATGGAGATTTTGGGAGGGTAAGCATGGATTAAGTTGCTTTAAAAAGTATGATTATTAGTTTTATTAATTTTACCTAATAAAACTAGAGTGAATATTAAGTAACCTGACTGTGAATCTTTGTTAAAGCAGAAACTACTCAGTTGAGCAGCTGGTATGTGTGAGTTGGATAGTTTCAACACACTTAGTTCATATAGCAAGTGTTTTGAGAGAGACAGATGTGGGAGTGATTAAATGGTTCGAAAGTTTCCAGGGACTATACTGCATCTGTCGAAATAAATTTCAGATTACTCTTGATAAACCACATCCAGGCTTTTCCTCTCCACACCAAACATGCCCTGCTTAGTATTTTAATCCTAATCCAGGATGTGCCTGCTTGCCCAGTTTGTGAGAGGGAAAAAAAGATCTACTTGTCAAATTGAAATTGATTAAAAACTCACACAACTGCTGTGGGTGCTGACCAACAATCACGGAAACTTCTCTTTAACTACAAATACCCCACATTACAAAAAAAAAAAAAAAGTATGAAGACAAAAAGAAATAGCAGCTATTTAAAACTACTTTGAAAAAGAAAGTCTGGGTTTTTTTTAATTTAAGAAAGATGAAATTGATTGATTTTGGGGGTTGTGAAACTCTGGTAAAGTACAATGCCTCTTTTAAAAAATTAATATATGCAAGAAAGAACAAAGGCAAAAGCATCTTGCTGTGGGTGATGGTGTTACATCTGCCTTTCACAAACACCGCTTTTTACTTCCAGCATCTGCCCTTCCCCAAAAACAGTGGGTGAACACAGAGACCCCCACACCCGCACCCAACGCTGTAATTCAGAGGGATACCAACCATCACAGCTGACAGGACTAAATCAAACGAGTAGAGGCCTTTCCCTCATGTTCTACAAAGTGAGCAGGGAGAATACTTCAGCTTGCAAGAAGGGGGTGCAAGAACTCCCAAGCACCCTATTGGATGGTGCAGACACCCATCTGCACCATGATAAATTCCCCTGTCTTTCAAGTAAGACATTGATGGAGTGGCACTGCCCAAAATCAGGACACAGTGACTGTGCCATGGCCACCTGACCTGATGCGGGGCCTTGGGGGAAGGGGGCATCTGGTTTTCCTTGCATTATAGCTGGGCATGAAGGTCAGCCAAGCTATTAGGAGGTCAACGTTGGAATACTAGAAGCTTTAATAAGACAGCTGATACAAGAAGAAAGGAAACAGCTTCAGCACAAAAAGCTTGCTATGAAAAACACTCCAGCCTTTCTAGAAAGCTGGCAGTTTTTCTTCTCACAGAAATATCCCAGGGATGCAATTTCTGAGTGAAGCATTGTTGGTGCTTTCTTTCAGAGTCTGGTTATTAGGAGAGAAGACTGCCTTTTAAGAATAGAGGCAGAGTTACCACTCTGGAAAAACTTCTGGCTGGCTTAGCTATATATAAAGGCCTATTAATTTATAATCTCAAGCTTATGCTGACCTAAGGTCAAAGCCTACTGCTCTTACAGAAACAGGCTCAGGACTTTAAGGGGTAACAGTTGCACGCACCCCAGCAAAGAACTTTACAAGAGAAATACATAAATTCCTCTTTACACCAATATTGAGACACCACAAGCGCAACTGTGGAGACATTTCTGACATCTGAAAACAACAGAGAATTTTTTTTTCCTTCTGCATGATGGCAAGCCTGAAGATTATTTGCAGAAGGAGGAACTCCTCCATAAGATAATGGGTCTTGACAGTTCAGGGGGTTGGTAATGAGACACAGGGCCTTTTTGATTTCTTCTAGGTCACTGCTATAACTATAGCCAATGTCAAGAGCAACTGGAAGTCATTATCAGCTGGTGGTTGCAGTAGTTTATCTGAAATTAGTTGGTAGCCCCAGTGCAGTTTCAGCAGGATAGATGCCCATGTTAGAAAAGCCACTATCACAATGACATGTCTCTCGTTGTCTGAGGAAATAATCTAAGCACCCACTGTGTGAAGAGTGAACTCACAGTTTGTCCCTGAAGCTATCAGGAGACTATGAGCAAACCACTATCTTCTGGGCACAGTTTTTGATGCTGTCAGTTTAGCACCTACCATAAGCATTAGACTCAGGGTAAAACTATCGTGTAATTGATTTTGCATAATTGTTCCTTTTTAAAGACCTACTAAATCAGTCCTCTCTTGGATACCTGTGCTCTACAAATAGCACTAGTGGGCCTATGGCACACAAATTGAATCACCCTTTATCAGAACAAATGTATTACCAGTCAGCCCAGAATGATGCTACATTGAAAACCAGAGGCATACTCCTTCATTGTAAGGAACAGAAATTTGTAGGCACTGATGATCATTGACTCGGCATTCTTAGGAATCTCAAACAGATTCAACGAAATGGCTTTAGGCTTGGGAAGCTAAAGCCATTCTCCTAAATCACTAATAATTACAGGTTATTTACCTTTATCTACGTAACTTCTTACATTGCTCAATATGGTGTCAATATTTTTTTCCTGGTTTTAAATTCTATTCTTCTACTTACAACCCATAGCAATGTTTGCAGTACTACTTGGCTTTATTCTTCTTACAGGCTTTTCTTAAAGGTATGCTTGGCTGTAGACCAGTGTTTGGGATTGGTCCTAAGAAAATTGATTACTTAATATCGCAAACTTACTAGACTTTCAAATAGCTACTCAGATGTGGTTCAAACAGTATGGGAATAAGAACAGTTTTTTGACACATCTTTATTAGTGGTAGTTTGGGTTGCATTCATCTGAAAAGAATGTGGTTTGAACACTCTGCAACTGCACTGCAATGAGAAGCAAAGTGCCCGTAATGGGCATAAGCTGTAAATTTTTGACAGAAGAGCACTCCTTACCTAAAGTAAAATATTAAGGTATTCTATTTGCCACTAAAATATTTAAGCTGGTTTTACTTGCCAGTATCCAAACCCAGGTTGTTAGGGTTTTTATGCTGTAAGAATACCGAATCTGAAATCAGTGCCTGTATTCAATTTACATTTGCAGCACTTTGTAATCACTTCACTGCCTGAACTACTTCTTACTATTGGCTCAAGGATACAAATGCTCATGAGAAAAGATTCATCTTTAAACCAATAAAAACCTCCTATTTTCTAGTTTTATAGAAATACTATGGCAACATGGTAAGAAATGCTTCACGTTAAGCATGTTGTAAGACACTGACAAGCAGGGTCATTTTTCCTAAAGCATGAGAATTATTGGCAGGATGGGTATGTTACCATTAGGAAGTTTCAGTGTCTGTAAGCAGTGCAGAGAACAAAAAGGAGTTCCTGACCTTCTGTTTGTTTCTTAAAAGGAGACACTTCTTGCTTAACTAGACTATTATTCTTATTTATTTAGGGTACAGATTTAGTAGCATACCATCCTCTAGGTAAAGGGTTCTAGTATAGATGCAGTTAACCAATATAACATCTTTTCTTGTATGTTTTTTTGTTTGTTTGTTTGTGGGGAGAACACTAAAAATCCTGTTGCCAAGATGCTTTCAAAACTAGGTAACGATTATATCATTAAGATTTTGGAGGCATAGATGTGCCACCAAAAATCTCTAATACAAATCTGCCCGGTGTCTGAGGAAATAGAAATATGTACACATGGTTTTCTTTAGGCTTAGTTTCAGTTTGGCTACACCATAAGTAGTATTGTTTCCCATGGTCTATTATTCCAATGCAGTTTCCTAATTTGAAGGTTTACGCAAACTGAAGGTTCACATTACAGCTAAGACTGTGCCAGTACTTCCACCATAACAAAACTTTATGGTGTTTCTTGCTGAGATGGAAATGCCTGTCTTGCATTGAGAATTTTTATATGAGCCCTGTGAGCCTTCTGTAAATTAGAAAGGAAGCTGTATAGAGAATTTAATAGAACTCACGCTACGTATTTTTTTCAACTGTAAATTTTTTTAGTTATCTGCTGTATTCTGTCCTCATCAGAGGTGATAAGCCTTACAGAGGGCAGCTCCGGACCCACATTTTGTCTTATGGACTGGATATATTAAGCAACAGTGAAGTGCTAAATGCATGAAAGCTTCTTTCTTGCAGCTTGGGGAGGCAAAAAGATAAATCAGAAGGATTTTGAAGCAAGAAGGTATTATTATGGCATTATAATGTCAGAGAGGCAGCAATACAGCCATCACAGCTTACCTGCTCTAAATATCTGGCACATATGTTCTAACTTTCTTATAGGTAATACTTCAGTTTTCAAGGGATTACATTTCTGGAAAATCTTGTGGTGGACCTCCATTTGCAACATAAATAAGGTAAAAAGGCACAGTGCCTGTAATAAGCAGACACTCAGAAAAAAGCTCAGGGCAAACCTATTTTTAATGGCTCTGAATCAGTTTTCTACTATATATATTTTCAAACTAGAAAGCAGTATTGAGGTTTATCTGGAAAAGACCAGTTCCTGGCACCTTGCCCTCAGCTTAAGCAAGGTGGAGGGCAAGGGACGATGGTCAAAGAAAACTGAAGCATGTGTGAGAGGAATCCTCAGTGCTTCAGAGAAATGTATATCCTTATCCTGAATGGAATACAGAGTCTATTAGCAAAATCTTTAATCAAGGTAAATAGCTGATTAACCATTAAAAAAACCTAACAACAACAATAACAACAAGTTGATAGCGTTACCAGGACTTTATCATAAATGAGGCTCTGACAGTTTCTAGCTTGACCTCCTGTTTCCAGTGATTTATAAAAATGGGCTGAAACTCAGCAGATCAAAGTAGTGTCTAAGCTGCTTATCTTTAGTTTATAAACTCCTTCCTTCTTTGGGCTTACAGCACTGCTTTTGATGGTGGATTGGGGGGTTTTTTGTTGGTTTTTTTTTTGTTGGGTTTTTTTGAAGGAGATTTTTCTGCCACTTGTAGTCTTGAAAATGAAGTAAAATAGTAACATATAACTCATGAGTAGCATTTCTTGCTGCTGTCACATTGGATGAAAATATTTCCAACAGTACCTCTGTTAAAATGACACAAGTATCTTGAAGCGCCAGAATGGTAAAACACCTTTCAGGGAACAGATCCAACACAGACACCCTCTGAGCTGGATCACATCCATTTTCATTTAAATTTGACCTAAATAGCAGAATGTATGAAAGGAACATATTCTAGAGAGATTACCCCAAAATTAAATTGGAATAGGATGGAGTGGATTTTAAAACAAACTTCTCTGATGGGAAAACACAAGCCTGTGCTAAACTGAATAAACATTCAAGACAGTCTGAGCCTCTGAGATGCCCCACAGTGACTCTGACCTTCCTATAGCTCCAGTGCTGGTTTCCTTTCATCCCATGACAATCATACAGTGTGACAGGGCTACTGTGCGAAATGGCATCGAAGCAGAACTTCCTGGTGTGCAGTGGCTCCCCAGGGCGGATGTCTTCTCTCCAACCAAAGGTGAAGAGCTAGAAAAACAGACAGGCAATATAATGATATATTAATAGTGAAAAACATTTAAAGCAACACAAAAAACTTGATGCATTATTCCCTTTTCACCCACTCTAGGTGCTGGTTAAACAAGATCCTGCCTGTGTATAGTTCAGTGATGCCAACTGCCTCAATTATAGTGCATCAGCAGCGATGTGGATTATACCCCAGGAAGGCACAATCCCTATGTCAGGGAAGGAAAAGATCTCTGGTGACACAGTACTGTGGAGAGGAGAGGGGATATGCTGTATTAAAGCCTTTAGTTACCCCAGTTAAAGCAGCACTCATATGCTCTAGGACTTCAGCTACCTAAGACTCAGAAAGCTTCTGCCAGTGATGTTCCTTTAGCTCTTGTTCAGGTCTGAAGAAGCTGCCTAGAGAGATCTTCCCATCATAGCATCTTCCCTATGTTCAATGAACAGTTTCCTTCTGTTTATACGGGACACTGTTACCAGAACCTCTCAACTGTCTTTTTTCCCCCCAAACAACACATGTTAAATGATCTTCATCTTTCCACTGTGAAACCTGTGAGCTACAGGCAGCTTGTCAAAATCCTTTTTCTCGCTGCCTGAGAGGAGTCACGAAGGGTCACAGTTAATAGAGGAATCCTTCTCAATTAGACACCAGCTGTCTGAAGTGGCGCTGTGACACTGCAGTCTTTCAATCATCAGATGAAGGTGACAGGCTGACAGCATCAAGTTTAAAGATGTGGAGTGAATTTTCCTTTCCCATGGACCAATTCTTGCAGAAAAGAGGCTTCAGGTTGTAAATTACTACCTAGAAGCTCTGCCAAGAGCTCTGAGGCTCTTTTCTTTTCTTTCTTTTTTTTTTTTTTCTTCCTTTTGTGTGAGTGCTATTCTTTGGCTTTCTGCATGACTTTTGATTTTCCCTAGGAAAAAGAAACGGAAACGTAACACCGAGAAAGTGAAGCTCTCTTTAAATGAGCAAACTTTGCAAGTAGAAACTGTTTAGCTGAGATGGTTCATGTAGAAGTGCATGCAAGCTTTTGTCCCGAGAAGCAGCTCCCCATACTGAGCTCAGACTGCCTGCAGCACCTCATCTCATGGTCTCTTTGGTCCTCACCTAGCATCCTGCTCCCTGCAGTGTGTACACTCCCTGATAGAAACAGCTATAAATTGAAGCTAAATATCACATGGGGCTGATCCTGAATAATTCTGTGGTAGAAGAATAATTCTGTGGGAAGAACCCTTTCATTGCTATAGTTATCTTCTTTTCATATACTTCCTGAAAGATACAACTAAATACCACATTTGAGAGGTGTTACTGCCTCTCTTGGCCTGCAGGCCCAAAATACAAGCACATATCTGCTGTATATTGATGTGTTTCTTACTGTAAGACCTTGTTCTCTCCATGAGCTGCTGTTACTTCCTATTTCTTCTGTATTATAGGTTTCCTAGAGAGTGTTTTCTTAATCTGCCCGTGTCCTGCTTATTTCTTCTTTCTCCCAGAGTGCGTTTTACATTTATCCACACTAAAATGCAGTGGACAGCTTTAATCTCATTTTCAAAGCAATTTCTGCTTTTCAAAAGGTTAAATCTATTTTTCACTTTTCTTCGTGTTTCTTTGAAGCAGCATCATGGACTCCCTACAATGATAACTTATCATTTCACAAGCAAAGACAGAAGTTAAGATTTGGTACAGAAAAAAACCTATGCTGCCGTTTCGTTAGAAAAAGAGAAGCCTGAGACAATTTTTGCTTTAAGAAAAAACCAGCAGAAGCCATTTTCTTTATCTTATCCTTTACCTTTTTACAGACATGTAATAAACCTAGAGCTGAAAGTGATGAATGACAAATACCTAGATGAACGGTGTGGAACAGTAGTTTTGCGATATTCTCACTCTCATCACTACAGCTAGAGAGGGATCCTATTGCAGGACCATCCTCATCTTTCATAGTAAGTGGCTCTCCAAATTTCTCATTCTGTGCAGGACTGGTGAGCTGAGGGGCCAATTCTTGCTGCTCCGTGGACCTTGGCTTGAGGACTACTACCCACTGAATGCATCAGTACACATGAAAGAGCTCGAGCTAGCCTTTAAATCAGATCATCCTGGTCTAGATTATCCCTTTGCTCTTTCCACTCCTGCGTAGTTTCTGAAGGCTGCCAGGGCTGTGTCCTGTTTTCAAGTCAAGACACAGTAACACAATGGGTTTTTTTATTCCCTTCCACTGAAAACCAGGATCTGTGCAATACTAGATCTCAATGTTTAGACTAGGACAGATTCTTTTTCCTTCTTCCTTAGCCTTCTGTTTTTTAAAACAGTTTTATTTTTAAGTCAACAAGTATGTCTTCCCCCTAGTGATACTATCATAAAACCAATCTTGTTAGGGACAGGAACTCAGTTTTAGGACTAAGAGAGAGAAGAGAAAAAAAAATGATCACAAAAAAGGTTATACTTCTCTATACACCCAATTGATATTAAGACCTTGCAATTACAGACAATACACGAAGGCCTATGGTCCTTCCAATCTCATAATTCTAAGATACACTACTTTAAACCCTAGTTAACACTAACTGGCCAGTACAAATATTATCTCTCTACTGCATAATGTGCAACAATGCTACATGTTATTAGCTGGAGCCCTGAGTATATAATGCTCCACCTGTCACTTTGGATTTTGTTGTTCCTTTGTTAGCAACCAAGTGTGCCAGATTTTACAATAAATGGCTGAACCCTTTTGTACTCTTTTTGTACTTCATTCATTTCTGACTGCTTGTTGATTTAAAACAAGGTTGCAACTAAATTCCCAGGCACATTATTAACAAACAGGAGGTTGATTCTTCCCCTGCAACACTTGGGGCTGCTGTTCACTGCTCCCTGTCAGACCCAAGAAACCCTGTGTCCTGGCTCAGTGGATGCTCATTCTCCTCCTTTGCCTTCTCTCATACCAGAGTCTGTAAAACACAGCACTATCCTCTGCACTTGCAATCAAGCAACCTTTCAGCCCTTATGCTTTGCCTTTTCATGTAGCCTAGCCCTGTCATGCAGTAAGCGGGGAAAATACAGCTTTCCAGCTTCATTTATAATTGGCACAGGGCCTGCAGAATGATTGCCTGATACAGCCACTGGCTTAGGACTGTCTACTGGACAAAGGCCCTTTTGATACCATTAATACTTTCCAGCCTGACAACATTGCTCAATTACTCGCTGTCTGGCTGGGGTCCGTCAGCTGGCATTGTGCTCTGACTATGGCATTAGACTTGAGAGGACAACATGTACCCCGTGCAAAGATGAAACATCGTGTTTCAGACTGGACTCTGACTTGAATTAAACCTCCAAGCAGACAAGAAAGAGCTGGGCAGGCTCCATGGCTACTTGCTGTGCCATGTTAGAGATGCTGCCTGTCCATCTATTCCCTGGCAAGGCTGGGGGACTTGATTAGAGACAGCAATGCCTGTCATTTTCCTCTGCTATTGTTTATCAGTCCAGCAGAGCCCCAGTTTTCCCTAAAGCCAGAAGTTAGTTCTGGAAATACAGAGGTGGAAGAACACAGTGCTCTGACATCCTCCTGCCCCTTTTCTTCCCCTATGGTTCTTAATTTTGGGAAAGCTTCTAGGAACCACAGTGACATGCATCCTCACTTCCCACCCATCTCATGTTCACCAGAAAGCCTGCAAGTGCCCCACAAACCTTTTGACTGCTATTTGCCCAGCCTGTTTGCGCAGCCCTGGGATGGAAGATTGCCTTCCTCTCCTTGGGTCTGCTAAATGGCTGTGCCCCCCAGCACAGTGGCTGAGACTGCCAGCTTTCAATTCCTGCCCTGGTAACATGACATGAACCAAGTGGCACAAAGGATCATCTCTGTGCAGCAGCAGCACTGACTGCCTGCTGCACCGGTCACATCAAACTACCATAGTTTGCCACTGAACTCCTTGGAAATTTATACCAGAAGTTACAAGTCCAGTCCAGTTCAGTGTCAATCCATACTACTTGAAATATGGTAATAAAATACTTGGTGTTTTCACTAATACTGTTAGTTTCTACATGCATATGCAGAACTCATGTAGGCAACACACTCCAGCAGGACGAAAGAGAAGCTCTCTGAGGCTGGCCAGGTGTTCGGCACTTATCCCCACTTTCTAACACAGATCATCTTCACAGCTTGCTGTGGCGCAAGTGGAAGACTTCTGACACAACACCCTCCCCTCCCCGGGGAGGAATCCAAAGCGGAGGGATGGCTTTGGGCGTGGGACGCCGCCGGATCCGTGAGCGGCCCGGGGGAACACGGGGGTGGGGGGGTACGGCGCGTTGCGCTGTCCAGTGCTGCCCCCTGCCGCCCGCCCGCCGCCCTGCACGCCTCCCTCTCAATGCACTGGAGGGAGTACGGCTGAAACACGGGGTCCTCCCAAGCATCCCTCTCCCTTTGCGTCCCTTCCCCTTTACCCAACCTCTCACTCTTTCAAAGGGTATTTCAGGTCTCTCTTTTCTCTGCTAACTCTTTTTCTTGTCTCACCTTTTCATCCCTCCTTTCTCATCTTTGGCAGCCTCAGGATGCCCTCCCTCCCTTCCTGAGGAGGGTTTGGAGCTCCTAATGTTTGCAGATTTTAAAGCCAGAGAACACTGAGATGGTCTAGTCTGGACCATAAAACTTCCTTCAATTAACTGCTTGAATCACTGGATGCCTTTTATAAAAAAACCAGGATTATATTTACCAGGTCTTGGCATCCTATCCCTGTGCAGTATCTTTGGTAGCTATCTGAAGAAGTCCTCTTTCAGTAACTTGCTTTTTTGCCATGTTGGCACTTACCTAAATTGCGATAATTCTTCAGCTTCTCCGTTTCATGCACCTCTCCCCCTGCATTTCTCAGTACCCTCAGAGAATGGTTTCTTGACCTCAGCACTTCAAATACCCCTCAGAACTCCTCTCTCCGGAGCTTTTAAGTTTTTACAAAGTGCCATGTATAACTGCCAGGTCAATTTTTCTCTTCAGCATTGGAAATTTTTTTCTAATCTGGGACCTTTCGCCGTGAAAGGCACGCTCACTAAAATTGCTACCAAACGGTTAGGTTGTACTCTCCATCTAGATTGTCTTTGCTCACATTGGCCAGACCCATAGCCTGTGGGTCATTTCCTGTGGCACTCACAGTGAGTACAAATCAGAGCTCTTTTCCTCCATACTTGTGAGAGATGATATTTTTCGACCCAACCAACCTAGATAAAAGCTTTTTTTGAGTCTTTATAATTCCTCGTCTTTCTGAAATGCTTTTCCCCTTGCTTTTCTCCGTTTACCTCGCTTATACCTCACATTTACTTTAAATAGAATCACTTATTGAGCTTATTGAGATGAAAGCATAAAAGCAGACAAAAACTAGAGCTTTACAAGCCCAGGTACTATATTAAAAATATTTTCAGGTAACTGAACCAAAATCTACATGTTTTCATGACACAGTGGGGGAGAATGGGGCATCAAAAAGCTCTTGGGGCATTGTAATTCCTTTTGGAAATGAAGACTAATATACAGCTCAGGTGGCAGCTGGAATTTCTGAAGTTATGTTAAGGAGTACTTCGTAAAAGCCATTAAAGCCATTAAGGTCAGTAACAATGCACAAATTATTTCTACACTCTGTTTTGCCTTAGGAAAGGGAGAAGCCCTCAGAGAAATGTTTAAAAACTGGAAATGGGAAGCAACAATTTTACTCTGATTTTCTCTTTCTGCTGTTAAAATACCTGTTCATGTGACCACGTTCGCTCCGAGCCATCCTTCACACAGATGTCTAGCCTCAGCTCAGTCCCTGTGGCTCCGTGTTTACTGTCCACACAGAGGTTGGCTGCCACGTTTCGAATCTGCAAAACCAAGCAGCAACATTTCACATTAAACCCGGCTGCAGAATAGAGTTTCCAGCATTAAGGGGTTAGGAGTTTAACTCTGAAGGGCTTGAGACTGACTATTAGTTACATAAAACCGGTAGGAGTTATTTTTACAGGATAGAGAGCCACGTTCTGGAATGAACTACTCTTCTTAGGAGCAGCTTCAGAAGCAGCAAAGTTTGAAATATGCTGCTTAACAAATGAAAGGTGGGTCTTCAGAAATGTCTTCATGCAAAGAAACCAAGAGAAAAAAGGTCTGAGTAGTTCAAAGTTTGGTCTGACCACTTCTTCCATCCTACAAGAGCAAGAGAGATCAACTGCATCAGAAGGAACTGATTTCTGTACGAGTCTCTCCCATGCTTTGGAGCAGTATGCATTAAAAACCTGGGCACACCTTGTTCCAGTCCTTGCTCTTACTTTGACACAATGACACCACTGCAGATAAGGTCACACATTAGTGCCTGAAGTGCATAAAATTAAAAAGTACTTAACAAATCTGTACTGGAACTTATGCTTAGCCATGGAGGTTCCTTCTGCATGCTTGCTGCAAACACTACAGTGTAACTTATTCTTAAAAGGAAAATCTCATTCTTGAGACGGAAGCAACTGAGTAATAATTAATCTGTGGCTATCAATCATACCAGTTATGTACCACTGCTGCCATGTATATTTTCTTTGAAACACTGGTTTGAAAAGGAGTAGGTTGCCCACTGCCACTGAAAAGCGCAGAATCCTTGATTTATTTTGCAAATATGCATATTTCTCCCTGAGTACCTCATCTGGTCCAGTTAAAAATCTTTTACACACCTCCATAATGAAAAGGATTTAAAAAAACCCAAAACTTACCCTGTCAATGAGATAAACAGAAATTGAGTAATCAAAATGAATGTACATGCATGGAGACAGGCACAAATTCCATAAGTATAATATATAGAAAGCAGGTGCGTATTTTGACATTCTGGACACTACTCTGATCCTTATTTTTTAAAAAAAGCTAGATGCTGAATGGAGATACAGTTGAGTTGGTATTTGTGGTTTTTTAATGAAAAATACTTTAAAGTCACTATTGTTGCTATAATATGCTAGACAAATGTAAATATTGTCACTGCATACCTCATTCACATCCAAAGGATGGAAAACTTGTCACCATAGCACAAAACACTGCAAGGAGGGGAAATCCTCAAGCATACAAGACACAGGCCAGAGCTACTCTGCTCTTTTTCTGACTCTGGAGGCGTGGGATAGAGTCTATTCACCATGACCAAGAAAGATTTAGACAGATGGGAAATCAACAAGTAGTGGAAAAAATGTAAAACCCACCAGCTTCAGGAAAGGTTTTAAAATCTGCATTTGTTTAGCCTAGAAAAGAGCAGACCGGGGAAAGATGGAGGAGCATCAGTTTGAGCAACTGACTACAAGGTCCTTTGATCCTTCACCAGAGCTCAGAGAAGCATTCTTCTAAAACTTCGACAAACCCAGTTCTAGAATATTTTTTCTTCTTTTTAATACAATAAATATTGCTAAAGATGAGGTAAAATGCTAACAGTTCATTCACACAACCAGACGCAGAAACGCAGCACTGAGAAGCCCCACAGTAAAAAAGATGAAAGGTAATTAGTTCTCAACAACCCTGCCTTCCTTTTCGTATCACCCAGAAAAAGAGGCAGGAAAGGATAATGAGTGGCATAGATTTTAATGGAATATTTTTAAGGTTTCATGTGAAATACCTACTCCAAGTAAATTTTTTTTTTTAAATGTTCAATCATTTCTCAGTGCACTTAAATTTCCATTGTACAGATAAAGATTTCTGGTCTAACAGAAAATAAAATATACATCAGATCTATTCTTAGAGCAAGAAAGTTAATTAAAATGGAGCTGCTAACAATTGCCATTAGTAATTGGGGTATATTTATGCGATTCAGAATTGCAAAATGACGGTGAATACACTCCATGTCCAGTGAATACTTATTGGATTAAAGAGCTTTCACAATTTTGTCTTGATAGCATCACTCCATTCCACTCTCAGTCATTTGGACTGTGCATAAATGTGTTCAGTCCATTTCTGGAAGAGGCTTGAGCTGAAGTTACATTTAGTTCCTTCACTGCTGGAATCCATCTCAAGTTCTTTATTTCCTCTCCTCTTCCCCCTGCTCCTGAAAGGTTTGCTTGAGTTAGCTTTTCCTCTGTTTTGTTGCAGCTTATGTGTTAGCTCATCCTTTTTATGTTTCATCCTTTCAGTTGCAGAGGGGTCGCTGTTTGTTTTTTGTTTTCTTTTTGTAATACAGGCATTTCAGTCAAGTCTGTGCTTTTGTTCTCTGGTGCTTCTGTGTGGCCTTGGCAGTTGCTAGAAACTGAACTGAGCCATCAAGCCAGAGCCAGAGCCACAGGGAACATTCTGCCAAGCATCAGCACCACACAGCCTGCAAATCCCCTAAGATGTTTCCACGAACAAAGGAAGGAAAGCAGAAGCTCAGATGCTTTTTTCTTATGTATGCACCAATATGCATTGGAACTGCCTTGACTCCAGTCACACAGCACAATGGATTGAGGGGTTTTGAGGTTATGAGTTACAACTAGCAAACAAATAGCTAGTGATCCTAATACTTACGTTTCCAACATTCATATTTGTGCAATTGTAGAGGCTGGGGATGAACAGGAGACAGATTTTATCAGCCATGCAGGTAGGGCATTGAGTTGCTACATACAGAGCTCATTTGCTCAACCTTAAATGCCATCAATTGTACACACAGATAAACGTACAATTAAACACATTCTGAAAAAAGCACAGGACGCTATTTTTAAGTCCTTATACATATTTTGTTCATGAAATGGCATCCTAACTCACTTTGGGACATAGATATTAAGACCATGAGCACTGTAGTCCTTGCAGAGAACAGATGAAGGGTAGAAGCAGAGAGAATCCAGCTTTCCAGGGGCCAGCAGTTATACTGACCAATATTCTTTGATAATTCTAAAACTCTACAACTTTGTTCATGGGCAAATGAGTTCCTTCAAGACTTGCTGTTGAGGTAGTAGGTGATGTCCTGGCTCTGCCTGCATCAGATGTATCACAAGTGTATCACCCAGATACACTTCAGCCTTCCTGGGGGCAGAGAGGGGTGAGCCGGACAGGGAGAGGCACTCTCAGGGGTTCTGGAAGCTTACATGTTCATCATAACATGAAACTGCCTGCCAAAAGCAAAAAGTGGGAAAGTGTAGCAATCTAAAGACAACTCTGTCTTCAATATGGTCACCTGTGAATGATGAGTGTGGAGATGGTGCTGGGACAATCCCTAGGGTGCTCCAATACAGCAACAAGAGAGGCAGGCACCTTGGTGGTATCAGTTTATATAATACTTTCCATACATCTGATTTAATCCCTTAAATAAGAAAGTGGCTGTAGCTCTTAGAAGACATTATCAATGTTCATTTATGCTACTTTTTTTTTAATCTGAGCAGCTCTTGGAGCCAGTTTTAATGTACTGCTTACATTCTCAGATAACCCTAGGGCCATCAACATCAATGGATCAAATATGGAAGAATGAGCCTCTCTTGTCAACTGATACATAGTAATTTTAGAGTATTTATCCTTTGTGTTAGCCATAAAAAAGGAAAAGTCAAAGGTAAAGGAAGTCAAGCACTGCCAAACACCTCACTGAAGAAAAAGGGGACTCTTATTCAGTGTGACACTGATCCTGATGAAAGAATTTGAACAGTCCAGCTGTGCAGTACTTGATCTGTGCAGGTTGGGGTTATATCGCTTTTGTCCAAAAGATGTGTGACTCTTGGTGGGCTGAGATTGACTCATTAAGGGTATGAGAATATCACACTTTAAAAAAAAAGAGAGTAATAGAAACAGAAGTTAGTGAGTTCTTAGGCTTCCATCTTTTTTCAAATGTGCTACTTGACTTAACTTCATAGGGGACATTTTCATGTCAGCACTGTAACACTGTTCTGTAAAATCCACGAGCTTGGGACCGATAGAAGAGTACCTTCAGGTCCTGTAGCTTAGCAGTGCTGTGACTGAGGCACTTCCTCATTAAATCACTGAATAATAAGTTTATGTAACAGCAAATGAAACCAAGCTTAAATAACTCCCTTTTGACTGAGCAAAACAAAAAAAATATTTCATATCACTTTGACTATAGGACTCATGACATCTAAAATAAATGGCAATGTCTGAGACGATATGATTGATTTCCTGTAAAATGTGTTTTTAAAGACATTGAAAGCTGTGATATCTGCACAAGATATTCATGCTGGATCACAGGTTGTAGATTCATCAATACTTCCTAAGAAAACACTTGGTGTTTAATTCTCACCCATTGTTTCAACTTCATTAGGATTTCAAACACACAGTACAAATAAATTATTCTGTCTTAGAGAATGGGATGGGTATTATTGTTTTTCAACTGGTAGCATACTTCCCAATATATTCAAAAGGATAAGAATAAAACATAATTGAAAACTTTCCTTCTTTTCCATAGTGGGAAAGAGTACAATTACCTCACTCAAACACAGAACTGACAGTCTCACTAACCTTAATCTGTCTGGATTCACTGTTACATTGCTTTACTGCACATATTTCAGATGTTACAAGGCAAAGCAGAGTATCAAGGGAATGTATACCCTGCCAGCTACAAAGGACAAAAGGCACAAACACACAGATGAGATAAGGCCATGACAAGAATAGCAAGAACGATTGCTTTTTGTTTTCCAAATGCCCTTCTTTTCCATCATAAACAGATTTTGTCAAGAAATGTATGAGTCAGATTTTAAACAAATGTGTTTGCAAAAAAAGAGGATTGGAGCAGAGGCTGTCTGTGAGATGTCTGCTTTCACACCACATGCTTTTACTAGCTAAGTATCAAAATACTGGAGCCAAAATTGTCTGAGTACCTCATTGTTTACCCTTTCTCAGACTGGCAGATGTAAAGTATTTCCAAATGGAAGCAGAGAGGGTACTAAATGACAGTCAGTCTTGGCACAGAATTTCGGTGTGTATAATCAGCAAGTTTTCTAGAGCTGCTTGACTCTTACAAAGCAGTAACATTACAGTCTGTTTCCCTCTTTCAGCTTCTGACAGCCATTAACCTTCAAGTTTTTTCAAGTTCCTTGCAAGTGCCAACAAATTAATTAAAACTGCACAGGAATGTGACAGTCTCAGGAGAAAAGAGAGCAGTAGAGCTGAAACTTGTCTTATTGTTGTTTTAGAGAAAGCACATTTCAGAGGAAAAAGAGTCTTTGGTCTTCACATCCTTCCTAAGAGCTTAATAAGCACTTTTAAAGTACAGATTTGATATCACTGCTATGAACTTTGATTTACTTTTAAAAATACTTGTTTTTATGCAAAGATTATATTAATATTGCTGCGGAAAGAATGAATACCTGAGTCACAATCTCCTCCTCTTGGACTCTCTTGATTAAGGATTGTCCAGCTGGCAAGAGAATTTACACATTTCATGATCACAGTCCTCCAAGGACACATGTGGAGGATGGTATAGGAAGATCATGGTAGCAGTCACAGCAACCTGATCCAGCCTGACTTCTATTGATAAACTCCTTACTTCCTGGTACACATTAAACTCATAAAGTGCGGACAGCAGCACCAAAGATAGAAGAAACTTTAACAACAAAGGATTTCATTACTGCCAAGAAGTAGCAAACAATTAGACACATATAAATTGAAGTTCTTTTGAACATCTGTAACTGATTGTTTATAAAGAAAAATTAAGGACTGCTACTACCACAGAAAATCTCACTATGATGTAATTTGCTTTTTTAAAAGGAAGTAATGGAGAATAATAGAGGCACCTATGTTTAGGATTCTATGGTCCAGTCTTGACCACTGGAAATATGCAGGGGTGCATCTGGTCTTACCAAATGTTTTAGTCAAAATTTCAACTTCATCCTCTGGTTTAAAATATGGAAGATAATTGTCTGAGAGCCCTAAGAACATCTCCAGCAAAATCAGAGAAGGCTAGAACTTGCAGTACAGATATTACTATGGTTTTTAAAAAGGTAGCACAACATACTGAAAGAGCAAAGCCTTCTTTATGGATCTATAATGATCTGAGAGGAAAAAACACTCTGCATGACACCTTCCCCTGGCATGAAGCCACTGTAATTTCCTGTCCCTGCACTCTTCTTCTGCACAATACAAACTTTCAAAGTAAGGTGTGCTACAGCTCTGCTCTTCAGAGAGGTTTGAATGCAGAATATCTTTGATCACAGGTGGAGGGTTCCAGCCAGCTGTTTGCTCACCCCCTGCTCTGGAGTGATGCTCCAATACATGCCTCTCTTTAGTGGTCTCTCCCTCCCCTCATCCATCAAAGGAGAAACTGCATTTGTCTGCTACTGGTACTCAGTCATGACAGCACCTACAGAATGCAGACAACAGCTAAGCAAAATCTGTCTTTTAAAAAGGAAAGTACCCAGGCCTCACTTGCCACACTTGCACATGTGAGCAAAACAGAGCAAACCTCCACCTGCATACAATTATCCTTGTAAGCACAGGAGGAGGTATATGGATAGATAGGCAAAAACCACAAGCATTGACTTTGGATCTCCTTTTTACTAAGTTGATTTCTCTGAACCTAAAATCTTCCTCTGACATGCAATAATGAGCGCTACATGCTCTTTTCCTCATTCTTTTCCTCATTGTGCATACATCTTATGCTCTGTACGCACAAAACTGTAATGAATTATAAAAGGGACAGTGATAGTTCTAAGACATGAAAGTTTTTAATTTTAATGGGTAGGTCAGGGATTGTTCCAACCACTGTGAACTGCTGTAATAACACTACTTATCACTGAATTAAGTCTGAATTAATACTTTTCATTTCCTGCAATCTAAAATGTTAGACTCATTTAAATTTGATCTAATTTGTGTATGACTCACCTCCCCCCAGGCAGCAGGTGGAGGTTCCACAGGAGGGTAATATTTTGGGACATCCCAGGCCACTGCAGCCATGAACCACTTGAAATCTTTACACTTCAGGTGCTTGCGCAGCTCTTTCTGGGCAGAGATATCACCAGTTGAGAGATGTCTGTACTCGGGCCGTCGCTGGTAAATGTACTCTGCAAACTCATCCATCCATGTCTCTGCCACGCGCTTCAGGTTCTGTGCATCAGAAAAAAACAAACATTAATTTCTTCATGCTTTGAGTGAATGATATTCCTAACAGGGAAAACTAAACAAAGCAAAACAAAAAAGTCAGTATTCCACACAACTTCTAAGCTTAGCTGGTCTAATTTCTCAGTGGAAAAGTACCAGTAAACATACGCTATCTTTATTGCAGTATTGAGCAAACACTACAGAGTAGTAGTACAATGTACTCTGTTTTCCTGCTGACATTGTAAGATATGCAGTCTAATGTCTGTTGAACATCACATTTTCCTTTATATTCTTCATGAATATTCTTCACCTTGTTTTTTGACTAATGATGGATGTTGAACAGAAACTTTCTTTCAGTTGCTCACATTGGTACTTGTTTTTTTTTCCCTGTTAGTTCAGGACCTGCTAGCATGCAAGAACGGTTCAAATTATTCCTTCTGATGTATTTCACTTTGCATTTGAAAGGCATCTGCATTTTAATCTGTCATCATACTTCTCAGTCACGTAGCAATTCCTACCTAAATTTTAGGGTCTGGTCTTTCATGTGCATATTTGGGGACCTGTCCCATCTCACAGCTGGTTTTGCACAACTCCTGGACTGGAAGCTTTGCTGTGTCACTCTGCTAATAAGTCTGTGCAAAGGCATAGCACATGACCCTGAAGGAGAGTTGACCAGAAGCAAAACACCTCATGGGATAGATATGATAACTTCTGGCTTTCTGTGCTCATTCTGTGAACATATCTAAGGCTATTTAGGCTCCATGAAACCCAGTTCTGGCCTGTGTTCCGCAGAGTTTATTTTTGTTGGTATTTTATAGGAAAGAGAATTACTTATTTTATTGCATAAGAATTTATTCAAATTATAGCTACTTAAATCACCTGACTCGAATTATAAAATAAAACAAATGTAATTGTAAGGAAAAATTCTGGATAGACTGAAGAGAGACATTTTATTGTTATTTACCATCAAGGAGTCTAAGTAGGCTGGGTGTACATTTTTCTGTATTTTTGTTTGTTTTTAAAATTCCTCCTGCAACTCAATCCACACAAATTTATATGCAGATGTTGTAGTGGAATACAAGCTTAGTCTATTCTGTATTGCTACAGCTGCCCAACAACCTTTTATCCCACCAACAAAGCAAAATCTCACTGGAAAACATCAAGACACTAGGATGTTCTTATTGCTTTGTTTGTAAAAACAAGATAATCAAGTTTTATAATATTTTTTTTATAGAACACTAACTGCAAAATGCTGAGATTCACTCTGTAATAAGCTGGAGGACAACATACATCTGATTATCATCAACATAAGGTAATGTTTGTTTTCAGAACACTCTACATCTAAGTAAGTCTGATTCATACTCTGATTTGCTTTCAAGATTCATTTGAAAATTCCTTTCCTGAATTTTATTAATCCACATAAACTAAATGTCTCTGAACTAATAAGGCTTATCTGAATACAAAGACAGAAAGATACAGAACAAAAGAAGTACTTTTAGCTGACACTGCAAGATAATTTTCTGTGTGCTTTCTCTCCATGAGGCAAATGTGTTAAAACCTGCAGGGACAAAGAAAGTAACATAAAAGCAGTATGAGAATTCACAACACTCATATTCCTATTAAAAAATGGATTGTGTCCCACATAAGGTTGACTTTTATTGAAATTTCATGAAAACCTAAATAACTTCACAAGACGTTAGAATTCAAGAATACAGGAACTGGGTACAGTAAAGAAAACCAGAACAAATTCAAGAACATCATCTAAATGACAATCTCACCTTTCTGGCAGAAAACCTATAACACAGAAATCTCCTGACAAGCTAAAATACTGTGTGATGAGACTTTGCAGATGAGGCAAAAATATGATTAAGAACAGTAAACAGGAAGCCAAAATAATGAAAAATTGTGTAATTTATAGTACATCTTTCACTGTAATGCTGTACACCTCTTTTGCTACAATGCAAATGCAGTTTAAAACTGTTCTAGAAAATACTTTTTGCAATTACTTTATCTGATAGGCTATTTTCATATTTAAAATGCATACTGTAAAAAGAGCCATATAATAAAAGTACAGTAAAAACTTCTTAGGAAAGAAAAATTCAAGTTAACTCTTGCAGCAACTTGCCTCAAAATATTAAGAGTAGTCTCTGATAGTGTTTTTTCTTTAGTTATTTGGCTGCAGTGAAATAACTGCATTCTGCTTTAGATGATTGCAATTGATAAAACATGATCCCAGCAAAAATCTTGATATTATAGCTGGTCACAAACTGAAAATTCTCATTCATCAGTCAAAAACTTTTTGTTTTCCAATAAGACCTTTGTCACTGTTTGGGACCCACCAAAACACTGTATTAAAAAAAAAAAAAAAATAGTCAGTTCTTCTCACAATTCCCAAAGTATTAGGCAGTTCACTTTGCACAAATCTATTTAAAACTTTTTTTCCCAGTTCTTCCAAGACCATTCCATCGTATGCTAAAAATCGCCTGTAATGAACTTGTACATTATCCTTAGTACATTTATATATTGCTGTCATAAGCCAAACTCTTATGAGGCAGTCCTTTGAATTTCAAGAGGTTCCTTTTTAAAAATACAAACCCTTGATTTGCTAGGTCTAAATCTCCAGACTGTTTATGACTATGACTGCAAGGAACTCTGTTCCAGAGTAGTGGGAAGCTCTTTCCAAAGATGCCAGTTACTAGGAAGCAAGCACTCAGCATCCAAACAATTTAAAGAGGTTTGTTGACCTCAGTGTGAGCAACTGGACTCTTTTAATTGCCTTAAAACATTGCTACTGCAGGGAGCTGTGCAAGCCACCTGCCAGGGGACTGAGGATATGGCTGAAGGGAGGAGGCCACAGCCCACAAGCTGTTAGATTTGTCAGCCCTAGGGGTGAAGTCTTGGGTGTGTGATGCTTTCTGGGGAGTGTGCCATGTGTTTATCTCCTGTGGGCCAGGCCCTGTCAAAGGAGGCCACTTTGCACACCCACGACTACCCTGGAGAAGACCTCTTAGCATCCCCTCCCCAAACCTAAGTGACTGCAAAAAACCAGAGCTTCCAGACTCAGCAAAAGTGGTTTCCTCCCCTCCCTCCATACGGTGGCACCAGGGGGGTTTCTGAAGGTATATAAACCCGTCAAATGCTTCATGGGCTTCTCTCCCCCGCCACTCTCCGATGGACCAAGACACCAGGGACAACAACCACCAAGTTCACTGAAGACCTCTAAGTGGTGACTATGAATCTTTATTCTTTTCTCTCTCTCTTTTTCTCTCTTTTGCCTTAAATATTTTCTTGGGTGGCTATATACCAACCAAAATGGTCAAATACCTGTTTTCCTCTGCAATACCCTTATGCTTTATATCGCCATGTTACTATAGATAATAACAATCAAAATGGCTACATACCTGTCTTCCTTTGCAACCAAATTGTTCTGAAATAAATCCTATCTATCTATCTATCTATCTATCTATCTATCTATCTATCTGTATCTGTCTGCAAACGCTGATCATCTAGTATTGTTTAAATCACTCCAAGGGATTTAATAATAAAACAAAATTTACTCCTGCCTGGTAGGGAGGGTCATAACACTCAGCATGGGTTTCTTATCCTTATTACCACTATGCAAGCTCAGTAACCACACTTCCTTTTAACATAAACATATCCAGACTAGCAGCAAAACTTCAAATTGCAGTTACTCCCCCTGAATTGAATGAACTCAGGAAGACTTGCTGTTCTGAAAGCTGGTCTGGTGCAACGTTGCAAAAAGAAGGTAAACATAATTTACATTCCTATTTGGAATGCGCTAACCCAGCATGTCCCTGGAGCAAAATCACAGGCTGTGCAAGATGAGATGGGTGAACTCATGTAAGCTGAAAATGCCCATTCTGTGGCTGTTTAGAAGCATGATAAATTGCCCTATGTGAAGAACCTCTTAGGATCATAAGTTTTCTATGCAAATTATGGCAGTGAGTTGCTGGGCTTTTATGCACCTTACCATAACAGAAAGGTTGAGGACCACAACCAAAATGAGAGCCCTCATCTCTGAACACTTTAGAGCCCACTAATCAAGTGGCTTACTGTAAGGCAAGGATGTGATATGAAGTCCTTTACAAGTCTCCCAGAGTTGCCCTTCCCATAATCCGGGTGAATGTCTGATATAGTGGATGAAGAAAGGAGGATGGTAACTTTCTTTTTGCCTGAGCCCTAGGTGATGGATGCCAACATATTAAGCCACCTACAAGTGGAAATGCTTTTGAATAGCTACCCAGTCTTGACAGACTTTACCTGTAAAACAGGTGCTAAGGAGTTTGATAGGATTTTACTCTGTGTGTGTGTATACTGCTACAGAACTTACAGGTCAAAGGAGTTTAAGAGCCTACCAGATGAAGCAGCATTTTGTGAACGTCTTATAGCATCATTTAAGCACTCATTTCTTTTTCATCATCATGAGATAGTTAAGTCTCACAGTGAAACTAATCTACAAAGAATTTAGAACAAACAAATTAGGAGCTGTATTTGAATCTTCCTGATTTCTGTCTCCTGTTACTATTCATATTATCTTCTAAAGAAAACTACTGTAAACACCAGTTTTGCAAATGGCATTAAATATCTTTATCAATCACAATAAGAAGAATCAACCTTGGCATCTCTTTTTGCTAGATCACTCTTGTTTGGATTAAATCTGAACACCTCATGTAAATGCATGCAGAAAGGAAAAATTAAACATAGAATCATAGAGTTATTACATTGGAAATGACCTCAAAGAGCATTGAGTCCAACTCTTAATCCAGCACTACCAAGTCCACCACTAAACCATGTCCCTAAGTGCATCATTTATATGCCTTTTAAATATCTCCAGGGATGGTGAGCAAGTCCCCTGGGCAGCTTGTTCCAGTGCTCAACAACATGTTTCTACAGCTGAAACTGGTGTAGCTGAGCTTGGCTGACAAATTCATTGCAAGGGTACAGATGTCCAGATTGGTTACTCTCAAAAGGAAAACTCCAAACGT